TTCGGTTCGGGTTCAGAGTTTTTTCTAAAAACCCGGGTTCACTTCTCCGGGTTCGGGTCGAATCCCTGGATTAATCCGTTATTCTTTGACGGGCTATCTGCTGATAAAAAAAAATTTCTTAGATAAAAAAAAGAATGAATAAATTTTCTTGTAGAAAAATTCGTAATCATCAATATATAATAACAGCATTTGCATAATAAAAACATAACACAATAAATTCATTTTAATATTCAAATTATAATTTAGTAAACTTTCCATATTTAACACCTTTACCCTCAGTTCCAAGCCAACTATTTCAATTCAGTAATAGATATAAATATGCGAAAATTTACATTTCATAATTTACACAGACAAACAATTATTATTCTGTTCTTCTCATTTTTATTATTTTTTTTTTCTGTAGCTTGTATCCAATTACTAATTATTACTCTATCATTAACAGTTATTCCTCTCCCTTTGTCTGCAATTTATCTTAACGACTACTATTTTATTAATTATTGCTCTTCTATTGTTTTTTCTACTTACATAACATAAACAATGTTCTTTTGTTTCTTCAACTGCATGCATGTACCATTAGCGATTACTGCGTTGATTCTATTTTTTTTATCCCACGACAGCTTATATAACGTTAAAAATTGATCTACATCTTTTTCAACCATTTGTTGCTTTTAAGGACTTTTTGTAAAGATTAAATATTTTCCTTAGTCACTTGTTTCATATCTCCTAAAGACTGCTTATAAACGATTAAAGGGTAAGTGTTTTATCAACTCTTTGTTGCTTCTAACGACAGCTGTTAAACTATTAACTATTTATCTTCCTCTTTATTAACCATGTCACATGCCATTTCAATTTCAAATTAAAAAATATTTTACTCTTTTTTATTACTTTTTGTAGCCATTTCAAACTTATAAGAAGATCAGGATTACTATTGTGCTTTATGAATCTTTGCATATGCACATTTTAAAGGGAAACATAAATTTCCTTTTATCATCAACTTTTACAGGAGCTCGTGAGTTTTAAAATAGAAACAATATTTTAATTTTTTGCCTGTTTTAAAAAAAATATTATTCTCATCACTCTTTTAGAACGTTTTAAGCAAAAACTAAATATTTCTTTTATTAAATCACCTTTTTGGGATTTCACACATTTTAAAACAAAAAGACAGATATTTGCTTCTCATCCTATCGGTGATCTCGCAATCGCACACTTTAAATAAATCTTATTGTACAATGTTTTTTTTTAAAAAAATAACAAAATAATCCTTTCGTGTTTTTTTTATCATCAAAAATCTTCACTATTTTTTTCAACAATTCTTTAGCATATTTTTAACAATAAAAGTTTTTTTCGAAGCAATTTAAAAAAAAACTCTTTTCTCACACTTTAAAAAAATAATTTTTAAAAACAATGTCCTTCATTTTCTTTTAAAATGTCACAGTTATTTCTATGGTTACTGATGAATTAAAGATTTATTTGATTTCAAGTTCCTAAACTTTTATTGATTTCTTAGTAAATGAAACAACTTTTTTGATTTCTAAGTAAAACTGTTTCTTTTATATTACAGTTATTTTTATGAACTATCACCTTAAAACTATTACATAAACACTTCAATTATATATTATGAATGCTGACTTTTATAAATTCTTATGTGAATTATTTCTCCAATGAAAAATTCTTATTGCATTACATATATCCGCATCTTTTATCTCTTCCCTCTTTTTTTAAAAAAAATTTATACCTTAAGTAATTTTTTTGTTTAAGACATGTATCCTTACTTTTTATTCTCTGAAAAATCCTTTCAGACTGAACAACATTTATATGGTAATCTTGTTCAAGACAGATTAAAGTTTTTCACAAATAACATATTGCTATTTTTCTTATCAACCATTAGAAAATTTTTACTAAGTTGCTTCTTTGAGTTTGGATTATTTTTTTCAGAATTAAAATGTGCTTGATTCAAAAATACATTTTAAATTAAATAAAAAATAATCACCACTTATTGTATACTAAAAATTCAGCGCAAAAACGAATATATATTGAATTAAAACAACCATAACACATTAGATTTTCATTTTAATATGCCGGATCATCCATAATAATAATTTATAAATTAATTTTAAATAGATTGCACACCATTTCTTTTCATATAATCATATGTAATTAGACCTGTGCGCCGACGAAATATCGGCGGCCGGCGCAATTTTTAAAAAATCTAATAAACGGCCGGCGGCGCGCCCATTTTTAGCCGCCGTCAATAAAATCGGCGTAAATCGGCGCATATATAAATTTTTTTAATTGCTTATTAATTTTAAAAAAAATAAATAAATATACACTATTCTACAGATATCTCGGCATATTTTTTAATATTCATTTAATAGAAAACTTATTATATCCAAAATCGATTTCGTAATTTAATTATCATGTATAAAAATTATTTTATTTAAATTTTTGGGACATAATGATGATCTCCTTAAATTTAACGTCAATCCAGCGGTAGAGAAACTTTTACTAGGTATGCTAGTCACCGGAATGCATAGAATTTTTTTGGCGAGCCTGGAAAGATTGGGAAGTTCACTCTTCTTTTCTCTTCAAAAATTTAGAACGTCCATATCTTGTGAATGTCGTTTTCCAAGAAAACTGTGGCATTCTTGTTCTAAGTCACCTAACTTGGAATCATAATTTATATTTGTTGAATGTTTATTTGCCAATTATGTGAAATAACTTGAATTTAATAATTCATCTTCATCCTCATTAGTTATATTTACTACCTTATTATCATCATTCTCTATAAGTTTAAGATGTTTTATTATAAATTCTGAAGCTGAGCAATTTTGCTCTATTAAATACTTTGACACAATTGTCAATTTTTAAAATCTTGGATCTAAAAGAGAAGCCAATACCTAGATAATTTTAAATAAAAAATAAAAGAATATAATTATATAATATTACTTGCAGATTACAAACCGGAAATCGTAACGCAAGTTTTTTTAGCATATTTTCCTTAAGTGAAATAATTTCAGAACTATCACTATCATTTACTATTAAATGTGTTTCAATTTCACTTCTAAAAAGTAACGCCAAGTTTAAAGTAGGCCCTTTTAGTACATAAAGAAATTCGACATTCTTTAAATTTTGAAAGAAATGCTAATAGTTCTTCTACCAGATCAGATTCATAATTTGAGAAAGTGCTTCCCAATTCTTTTCAAAACATTAATTATTAAATTCTTATTTAATCCAGATATGCTTTCTAGCATAATTAATATACTATGCCAACGTGTTGGGATATTTAAATTTAAAGTTTTCATATGCGTGGAATTATTGTTACTATTATCATTGGAATTGCCAATTTGATCGGGGTATGGATCAATGCTGTCAAGATCTAACATTTTTGATGTTAAATCTATTGTACTTAGGCATTTTCTTTGATATTCCTCGAATTCAAATTCAACCTCTGCAGTTTTATATCTTAGAGCAGTAATAATTTCTCTAATTCTTTTGCAAAAAATTTCCAGACTATGGATTTTTTATTATCCAGAGTTTAAAATTATTTAAATTATTAAAGTAGATGCATCCATTTTAAAAATATGTAAAATTATGGTAACTTTTGGAATTTTAGATTTTTGATTGATTGAATTCTATAAAGACGTCAATATAATTATGATTTTAAAATAGTAGAAAATAAAAATTCATCAAAATCTTGATTGACATTAAAAAATTACTAGAGTGATGTTGACCAATTATTAGAATAAAAAGGTAGAAATAAATTTCTGGGGCGGCCGTGCGCCGCCGATGTGAATAACGACGGCGTTTTCGGCGAGATTTTCTTAACGGCGGTGTTTTCGGCGTAACCAAACAAGGTCGCCGGCGCACAGGTCTACATATAATAAAATATATTTTGATTTTCTACTAATTTGTTTTTGCTTAAAGCGGGAAAAAAGAATGTAGAATTGTAAAATGATTTAATGCCGCAAATAAGAATATATTTATTTACAAATAAGTTCTAAAATTTCGTAGGAAAGTTATTTAATATATTAATGTATTAGTTCAAATGGGTTCAAATTATTTAAAAATTAGCTTGTAATTTTTTAATGTTAATTAATTTTCTAAATTAGTGCTAATTTTTAATAAGGGGGTTATCACCCAGAGCACCTAACTAACAAGCCCCTGGCTATAGAATATTTTTTTTAAAAAACTTCTTTAAAAATTTTACTACTTCTCAATTATAATTTTTTAAGAGCATCTTCAACATTTAATCAACTCTTTTTTAAAAATAAGGAATGAATAAATTTTATTGTAGAAAGAGTTATACTCACCAATATACATATATAATAACCAGCATTTGAAGAAATAATATAAACAAAATATAACAAAATAAATTTTCAATACACAAATTATGATCATATCCATGATACATATATATCATTGGATTTAATAAACTTTTACATATTGCGTAAAAAAGAGTCTCCTAGCCAAATCACAACACTCAATTTAACTTGCACATCTAATTTAAAAGTATTGCTGTAATAAAATGCGAAAATTGAATAAATATTACCTTTAGAACAGTATTATTATTTTTCTTGTAAGGTCCACTTTAGGGAACTTTGGCCATGAACTATTAAGTTTAAATATAATTTTAAGTACTAATTATAAACGTCTCCAGGATCTTAATAATGATGTAATTGGATCCTAGTGTTATTTTATCTAAAACAACAACTCTCAATAGCTATATACAAATCAAATCTAGTCTCTATTTATGCAATGCCTATTATGAATTAACAAATTATTTTCAAAATTATTTTTTATCTTGTCTTAATTTTAGTTTAATTTTTTTTTAATTTACATCTTTTTTGAAATGTTTTTTTTCAATATGTTCTTAATATATTATATGATTTTTATGTAAAAATAGTTATAGAGATGTTTCCACTATATTACTTAAAATAAAAAAAAACATGTCAATATTGACCTGCCTGGGATATCAAATCGACACTTTCCTTGAAAGATGACAGAAACTTTTAATTTTATGGTAAATTCAGTATACGATATGATACGATAGATGTCAGATGATAAAATTGAGAGTGTAAATCCCTTTTATCATAGACCTCAATGGACGCTCTATCAATGTCTAAAAGTAATGTAATTTTTCTGCTAAATTCTAGATAACATGCAAATTGTGCTCGCTATACCTTTTTATGTTAATTTTTATGCCTTAATTATAAAACAGATATTCTTCCTAACCTTTACTATACTTCCATTGAGATTATTGATAATGGGATGTGTTTTTTTGCTTCTTTATCCTTCTGTATGTGTGGCTTATTGGTTTGGGTCAAAACAGAAAAGAAAATTCCAGAATAAAGATCCATCCAACTGTGTTATAACAAGAGAAATCCCTTTATCTGGATGGATATATTAGTAAATTTTATATAAATCATTTGCCAAATTTATAGTATATAATGTTTATTTTTGCTATTTTTTTAAAATAATAATAACTATTAAGCCATATGCTACCATGGCTGGACTTTTTAAATAGAACATTGCTATGGGCCTGTGGATTCCTCCATATTAAAATCATTGGTGAACCTTGTACTCAAACAAAAATTCTAGTTTGTGCTCCTCATTCAACTTTTGCTGATAGTATAGTAGTTATGTATCCACATCTTAAAACAATCGTTGCCAAAAAAGCTGCACAACATTTATTTGCTTTAGGAAGTAAATGATATTTAATATAAAGCTATAATTAAGTAATTTATAATTTAATATTTAATGAAAACTATTTAAGTTACTAGATCTTTATCATAATGATTCTGACAGCAATAAAATATTTGTTAGATAAGATTGAAGAAAAATATCTAAAGCAATCAGAGGTGTCCTTTTTTTAGCCAATAATCAAACCATTACAATATTGGCTCTTACCAAAAATAATAATGCATTGTATTATATTTACACTTATTGAAAACAAATATCAATTTTGATTTATCATTAATTTATAAAATTAAAGAAATAGAAAATAAAGATTAATCCTCTATTGTGTATATCATATTTGAATACACATACCATAAGAAAGGTATAAATTTTAATATAAAATTTTTTACAGTTCCTAATATGCAATTAAGCTCTAAATATATATTAATCAGTAAAAAACCTTTTATAAGTTCAACCAATTTCCTAAAAACACTAACTCAACTCAGAACAAATTTTGACAATACTTATATTAAAGATTGAAAAATAATTCTTCCTATACCACCTGTACCTATAATTTCAGAGTTTATAACAAGCTCACTTTCAATTGAAACTACTAAGAAAACATTATCTTGGAAGTATAAATACAACCCTCATATGCACTATATAAATTAATTATTCTGATTTCATCTACATCAAAACCCTTATATACCAACATGCCATCAAATAACTCATTGCCTTACACTCAAAGTAACAAACTTCTCAGGTATTAAACCACCTTCTCATCATTAGCATGAAAGGAATCTGCCAAACCTGTCACATACTTATTAATATAAAAAAAGATGACCATCTATACAAACATGGCCCTCCCTTGCTCTTGTTCTAATACACTTTGCACAAAACTAATAGAACCCCCAATCAATACCAAACACATACAAGTAAATAACAAATCACTAGAAGAATTTATATTTATTAAAAAAATACCAACAATAAAACACATCCTATCTAGTGTTAATTACCAAATCAATGACCATCTTACTAATTTATTTGATAATATTAACAAAGATTTGTCAAATTTAAATCATTGGAATAATCTCTTCACATTCCCTTTCAAATGCCTCTCAATCCCAAAAGATAACAAATTTATCAAACTACCTAACCTAATAAAAGACAGACTCAAAAATTTGGAAAAACACTATTAGAATATGTTAAAAATCCCAATAATTCTAATGAAAGTTTCAGTAATACCTGCAACAAAATTTCCAAAAAAATAAATGAAGGTGACATATGTGGTGCACAAAAATTAATCTCTTTACAAACAAAACTCGCCCCATCTAACAACGAGACCCTTAACAATCTAAAATCCCTTCATCCACATGCCTCTTATACTGGCTTACCAAACCCACCACTCAATATTCCCCCATTCATAATTATAAACGAAGATATTCGTGATACATTAAGTGAATTTAATAAATTTTCAGCAGCAGGCCCGGATGGCTATAGACCTTCTTACTTCCAAACATTTTAAAAATCTCATAATTCCAATATATTTTTTAACTCACTTACCACCTTCCTTAATAATATAACTACTAAAGATATTCCCACATTAGCTCATCAAATTATATTTGGAGCTAACTTGATAGCTTTTGAAAAACCTAATGGTGGCATCCACCCAATCGCAATCGTTTCATTTTTCAGACGCCTGATAGCTAAAATTATAGCAAAAAAATAAAATCCGATACTCATTCCCTGCTAAGCAAATGCCAATTAGGATGCGTAACTAAAGGAGGCCTAGATATAGGCTCTCACTGCCTACGAATCTACCTCCAACATCCACCAATAAACTCCGTTTTATGTAAAATTGATTTTAAGAATGCTTTCAATACAATCTCTCGTTCCTCGGCACTTGAATCTTTTTTCGATAATTTCCCTCAATACTCGTGCTTCATAGACATCTGCTATAACAATAGCACTCCCCTCATCTTGGTAGCGTTATATACTCTGAAGAGGGAGTACAACAGGGCAACCCCCTCGGCCCAATTCTTTTCTGCTTAGCTATCTATAATATGATGAATCTTAAATCTGATTTTGATCTCGACCTAAACCTATGGTACCTTGATGATGGCACCCTTTGCGGTAATCCACATTAAATAAGTAAAGCCCTTAACTACCTTGAAAGAAAATGCTCTAAAATAGGATTAGAATTAAATAAAACTGAAACTGAAATTTGCTTCCTCAACCCCGTGATTCCCTTAGATTTATTAAAGAATACACTATTATCGGAAAAGAAGATATCCAACTATTAGGCACCTCATTACTTAATATAATAATAATATATCCGAAAAAATTATCGATAAAACTTTTTCTGAGATGCAATACTAGGAGTAGTTTATCAACCACATTCCATCACACCAGCTTTTTTACTTATTAAAAAAGTGTTTATATCTTCACAAAATCTCACATATCTTCCACTCATCTTCCTCATTCACCTCCTCAAAATTTTTCATTCAACATAATATTCGCTTAAAGACCTTTATAGAAAGGATCCTCAACTTTTCATTATAGCCAAATTACCCGCCAAACTAAGTATCGACTTGATCCCCTTAGAACTTCTTTCCCTTTCTCTATATCAAATCGCCTACGCTCAATTCTGCGATCTCATTATTCATCGCTCCCCATGATGATCTTCTATCAGTAGCAATAGAAAGATGGAATCTCCTAACCCCAGACGGTTATACATTTTTATACCGAAATCTCTAACAAATCAATCATCGAACCCCTAATAAAAAAATTACAAAATAGTCTTAACCCTACTGAAATCAGCAATATACAACTATTACATAATAACGATAAATACGGCGGGCATGAATGGCTCGAAGCACTTCCAAGCCAAACTTTAGATAATCTCTTAACCAATGACCAACTAATAGTTACTATAGGCTTTAGACTTGGATGCTCGCTTACACATTCACACTCTTGCCACCAATGCAGCCTACCCATTCAACCTAACGCCAGATACGGTCTAAACTACACCCGCAGCCAAGGACGCCATTTCCGGCATAAAGCAATTAATAAAATCATACATAACGATTTTAATAAGGCTAAAATACCCAACCTCCTTGAACCTACCAACCTCTCATTACAAGACGGCCTCAGACCCGAGGGCTTAACCTGCACCCCCTGGTCCAATGGGAAATCCCTTATTTGGGATGCAACCTGCGTATCATCCTTTCCTTCATCAATTAATACAAACCCTCTTACTTGTTGGGGAAAATAAAAAAATTAATAAATATTCAAAATTAAATAACTTTATATTTCAGCCAATAGTCATTTCAACTAACTGCAATTTTTCAGTCTACATATATTTTTTTAAAAACTTTATCGCTAAAATTTTTTAGCATAACAAAAGAAAATCGTGAATCCTTATAAACAAAAACTTCAATTGGAAATTTTTAAACACAATTATACTTGCTTTTTAGGTACATTTTCATTATTAAATTAAGCTCTTTTAGAGCCTTCGATACTATTAATATATATTTTTATTTAGTAATTTTATATATTTTTATAGAGTTGTTTTAATATTTTAGTATTTTATCTTCTTATTTTAAAAATTATACCAATATCAATATTATCAAAATAAAATATTAAAAATACACATGATGTATAATAGATACACGTATATTTTATTTATTTCTATAGTTAATTTTGTCAAAAATGAAAGTCAGCTATCAATATAAAAATTCTAAAATACATAGTTTACAACTTTTAAATAGTTGCATTTTTTCCTTTTTTAAATTATGTCAATTCTCTTGTACAAATTTTTAGAACAGGAAATTAAAAATCCTATTAAATAAAGGTAAAAGAAATGTTTTATATATAAATAGATTGTTATATTCATTAATAGTGTTTAAAATTTAAATTTTAAGGTAAGTATCCAGATACATAATGCGCTCAAACTCAATATGAATTTAAGCTTTTTTGATTATTTTTTTTATATTATTAAATGTTCTTTATTTGCTATCCATAGTCAAAATGTACTGTATTCCATAATAGTTCTGATTCTAACCTTAGTGGTTCATTAGTTGAGGAAATTCTTGATTAAAGATCAGCAGATGTTGATTCTAGCGGAAATGCGTATTTCAACAATCAGTACCACTAATTTCAATTTTAAATTGTGTTATGATAATTGGTTTTGACTTTAAGTATCACTCGCCCAAAAGGGAGTATTGCTACAGCGAGATATATAATTTATAATTGCCAGTTTCCAACTGAAAAAGAATTCTAAAAGATGGAGTATGGGTTGATATAAGATCACATAAATTGTATCACCGTATAGTATTCCATATACTTGATATGATGCTAAATCTTGGTTAATGTATGGGCTAGATTTTGTAGCTTTAAAGGTGCCGGTAAAAGAACAGATGCCATTATTAACATTTAAAATTTCAATTGCATATACTCTGTAAATGTAACAAAATATGAGTGCTAGCGTAAAAAAACGAATATCAATTGACACCAAATATAAAGAAAAATCTAGCAAGGGACCGACAAGTCTTATTACGCACAAAGAAATAAGACAGGATATAGCACATTGGCTAAAATATAGTAAAAAGTCTCTATGCAAAAACCCTGGATGTAAATTGGTTACGGAAGTGATTTGTACCAAACTATGGTGTATCATTATGTTTTACTAAAAAAACGATTTTTTAAAATTATTTCATGAAAATTAATAAAATTATATTTCTTTATTTTGTAATAGGTTTGAATTTGAAAAATATGATACTTTTTACACGCATTGTGTATTTAAATACACACACTTAAATTTAGGGATGTACCGATATTTTTATCGGATCGATCGGGCCAATATTTTACTCATTTTAAAATATCGGTTATCGGCCAATATTATAAAATTTTCCGATCCGATCCTATATAAAATGGCATTTTTAACAAAAATAAAATGTTATAAAATTTTTTAAAAAAGTTATATCTAAAATCATTTATTTATATAAATAAAATCGAAATCCATTTTTATGTTAATTTTTAAAATAATAGTAATTAATTAATAAAAATTTGCCATATTGTTATTTTTTTGCGCATTCTGTTTATAAAAGTGGACAATAATCTCTTCAGAATCTGGTTTTAGTGAAGCTGGATATTGTCAGTTACCATCGCCGCAAGCTGACCTCTGATAAATTGGAAATTTTGGTATTTCTAAAAAGAAATCAATATTATTTTAAATATTTATTTCAAATTTCATAATATAGTTGTTTATTACATATTATAAAAGTGATTTAACAATGAAAATATTTTATATACTTTTAGAATTGCAATTGAAGTGAATATAAACTATAACTGATCATTATAATATATTTAAATGACATAAGTTATGGTATAGTTAAATTATAGATGTTACACTAATAAAAAGTATATTAAAAATTAAAACCATTGGTATCTTTACAGAATACTTAAATAGATATGATATTGGATCGGTAATCGGCTGATATCAATTCAATAGCCGGAATATCGGATCGGATCAACCTCCAAAAAGTGGTATCGGTACACCCGTACTGAAATTGTTTTTATGGTTTAAAAAAATTTTCTTTTAAAATTATTTTTAGTTTATTAAGAGCCCTTTAAAGACAAAAATAAGTTTTTTTTAAAAAATTATATCATTTATTGATATGTCGCGCAATAGAGGGTTCACAGCACCATTCTTTTTTTTATCAGTTAATATTTTTAATTATTTTATAAATTCATGTAATAATTTTGACTAAAATTTTATTTATAATTTGGGAAGGTTAATTATTTTTGTTGATATTCGATATAGGTAAAATTTAAAGTAGTGCATCTCTAAAATCAATGGCCATTTTTGGTTTTTCTACTTTAAATTCAAAATAAGCTAATTTTATTATTTTTTGTTTTGCCATTACAGGTATTTTGTATTCAGTAAAAGACATATAATGGTGTAATGGATTATTCTTACGTTATATTATAATTTCACGGGTTCACAGCACCATTCTTTTTTTTATCAGTTAATATTTTTATATAATTATTTTATAAATTCATGTAATAATTTTGACTAAAATTTTATTTATAATTTGGGAAGGTTAATTATTTTTGTTGATATTCGATATAGGTAAAATTTAAAATAGTGCATCTCTAAAATCAATGGCCATTTTTGGTTTTTCTACTTTAAATTCAAAATAAGCTAATTTTATTATTTTTTGTTTTGCCATTACAGGTATTTTGTATTCAGTAAAAGACATATAATGGTGTAGTGGATTATTCTTACGTTATATTATAATTTCACTTTGTAATCGGAAAAATTTATAAAGTTTCATTTGTTTCTCATAGTCTTTAATAATCAAATTATAACCCTTAATCTATTTAAATTCGTCCTATAAGTTTACTACTCATGAAGAACTTCTTTATACTACAGATGATAAAAAAATATTATTATCATATATAACAAAATATCGTTAAGATATCGGTAATTTAGAAAACTAGATATCATTAATTTAGAAAACTAACAGTCAATAGAGTATTAATCTTTTTTTCTTAAAAATAATTATATAATTACCTCTCTACTCAGCAGTCATTCGTCAGATGATCGTAGATTAACTTTAGAATAGTTTTAAAAGTTATCTGCAGAAGCCACTTAATGAATTCCCAGGATAAGTCTATCTCCGCTATTGATCTGGTTATCCTGCCGAACCAACTATTTTTATGTTAGAAATGATTTAAGGGATGGCTCCTCTGGGGATACTTTGACGAGTGCTTGATATATAGGATTGTTTGGGGCTTGCCTAAAAATATGGCCTACTAGTTCAATTTTCCTATATTCTATCATTCTATATAATGGGAGTGTGTCGCATTTGGCCCATGTGTTTTGTTCAAAGGTAAGAAAGTTTTCGTGATAGATCTTAGACATTTGTTAATAAATATTTTTGTCTTTTTGTAATCCTATTTTGTATCGTTACATGTATCAGTACCATAATCTAGGAAAGCGAGTATTAGAATTTTAAAAAGTCGGATCTTTAGCAGAATAGATATTTGGTTGGATAGCCATATTTTCATAAAGGACCTATATTTGGGTTTGGTTTTATTTAATTAACCATTAAATTTTGTTTGGTCTTTCCTTTCCTATCTAGAATTACTCCTAGATAATTTAGTTGTTGTACTTCTGCAATCGTCTTCTCTTGTATCTTTAGGTTCAAGTGTTGTGGGGCGTAGAAATGAAGTCATCATCTTTGTTTTATCAATAATATTTTTAAACCAAAAAAACCAGCTTCTACGATAATACTGTCCATTAGGAATTGAAGATCTGGTATTGATTCCAATCAGGCAAAGGTCGTCAGGAAACGTAAGAATATTTAGATTTCCAATGGCCAACCATTTCGAGCATAATATTTTAACTTTTTTTATAATATAATTCGTATAAAATTAAATAGTAGAGGAGATAAAACTCATCTCTGTTTCAGTCCAATTTTTACAGGAATTTTCGAGTAGTTATTATAGATATTTTTTATAATTTTTAGCAAATATTTTTTTAACTCACTTCGAAATTTGAATTTTAACAATAGAATCCTAAAATAAGCATTATGCACACCTTACATAATTAGAATAACAATTGTATTTGTATCGAGATGCATTTCTAAAAATGTATCTATATGCGATGTATCTGTATAGAGAGAGATCCATTTGAAAAGTATCTTTTAACAACGGATAGTTATTTTAAATAATAAGTTAATTCAACATCAAAAAATTGGAAACAACACACTTTAAGGTAGCCCCCCCCCCCGATCCCATTTCCAATTTTATATTATTCCCTACTCTCTTCTATGCGACTACATATAGAAGTAAATATCTTCAGTTCATGTAACACTGGTGTTAATAATACTCAATTTATGACATTTAAAATTAAATGTATATTATTTCTAAAACCTTTTTAATGTAATTATATTCTTTTAAGTTGTCATTTAATTTACTCTTAAATTTTTTTTACAACACTTTAAGCTTTGGTTAGCTTCCTTCAGCCAATTTGGGTTGAGAGAGATGAATTGAATTCACGAAGAAATGCCATTCAAGGAATTATTAACCGAATGAATGACGGTGACAATGTTGGGACACTCAATCAATGGCCTCAAATATGTATATTCCCTGAAGGGACTTGTACTAATAGGAAAGCCCTTATATATTTCAAAAAAGGTTTAGTTTTTCTATTTATTTGTGACTTATAATAATTTACAATTTTTATAGGTGATATATGTAAAATGTTATTTTTATTGAAAATATAAAATTGTTGCACTGATATTAATGTCAATATCAGATTGGCACGAATATTGACCATTTGAAGAAAAAATCAGATTAACTATATATGTTAAAAATCAATCCCATAAAACAATTTATAAAATTCAGCCAAAATTAGGATTGGCCGAATTAAATTATTTGTTTTACATAGCGATTTAAATTAATTTGTTTTAAATCGCGATTTCAATCACCCCGATTTTAAAAAAAAACTATTTAAATCAAAATTTAAAATAGTGAAAGGATTTATATAAGCAAAATCTAAATTAAATAACTAAACTGCACCACTTGTTAGACAAAAAAGTTTATTTTCTATTTCAATTTTTGACATAGTAGAAAAATAACTGCTGATCCTAATCGCAATATTGAAAAATTATTTAATATTCTAAATATAAAACGAAACTAATATAAAAAATCTACAAATATTTTAAATTTTTTTTATTTCCTTAAAAAATGATAAATTTGTAAAATTAAGAAGAAATATATATTAAAAATCACACTACCCATCGACATTGTTATTAGAGTTTAATTGCTTAAATATAAAAAACTAATTTTCCTGCCTTTTCTGCTCCTAACCGAATCCTGAGCTTCGAGTGAACAACTCCAAAAGATGAGAATACCCTATCGGTTTAAGTTTATGATGAAGATGCAGTAAATAGTTCTTTTATTATTTTTAGAATATTTACATCCTTCCTCAAATTTTCAGGCCACCTACCTTTCAGGTCTACTTTATTACTATATTATCCGAAAACATAGTTTTAGTAAAGGTTCTGATCTTGCTTGAAACTTTACCAAGATAGATAAAATCTCAGTGTTTGGATACAGAAGTTCTCCATATTTCATTGCGTAAACGTGATAAAGTGCATTCGCCCTCTCAACGTTGTAGATACAACAAAGCTATGTTAGGTATTTCTCATTTCCATCTAATTGGATTTATATAGAGGGGGAAAAGATGAGAAGCCCTTTAAACGTTTTTGGGCAAGCTGCACATATTTGTACGCACAATAGTCCGAGGACTATTTTTTAAACATCTGTGGGCTGATTAAGAGGGAAATGACCAAAAATAGACAGCCCTATTTGCATTTGAAAGTAAAAATGACAGAGGAAGGTTTTTTAATTAACGTTTACAGAATCTTAAAATAAATATGATAATTAAATAATGAACTTGTATTCTTGTTGAAGGTATCTGAGTAGTTGAAGAAAGGAGACACTGAGTGACGATAGAGGGGATATTATTTTAGTGTTGGATTGCTTCCAATTTATGTTCAGGTCAGCCACATCTTTCAGTACTAGGTAAAACCAAAGTGTCTTATATCTACTGAACGACTTTCCTTAGCATGTGAAGAGCCATGTTAGAGCATCGTGGACTAAGTTGCAGTTGGGGTGTCCCAGTATATGAGCTAGGAATTGGATGCGTTTTTTCTTTAATAAGATGTGAATTGAGGTATGTTTCGATTGTTTCCATAATTTAACGTTTGATATTAGTTTGGGGTAGAAAACGCCTTTTATAATCCTTAAACACTTGTTAATAAACGGACATTTCCTGTTATCCGCTTAGGTTTCACAGCCGTATAACAGTATAGGGATCACAGTGGAGTTAGATTCGCAATCTTGTAAAGGTCGATATCTCCCCTGTCTTCCTAAATTTGAAGTACTTGTAGAAGTCTACCCAAGCTTTTTGTATCCTTAACTTGAGTTCTTCCTTGCAGCCCACTCTATTGTCTATGGTAATTCCGAGATATTTTATGGTGACTACCTTGATCACTTCCGATCCAATTACAATACTCTATGGAAGTGTGTGTCTAGCTAAAAGGATCATTGTCTATTTGTAATTAATTTCCAGCCCAACTTTCATACTTATAGATTTCAGTATGTGGATAAGATTATGTTTCTTCCAGGTTCTTGGTAATCATCCGCATAAGATATAATCCTGTTCTCTAGATGGTACATATTGTCTGGAACAGAGATGAGCTCCAGTAGATTAGCAGCATCTAAGGCATCTTTTAAAATTTTGTTCATTACGATGTTAAAGAGAATCGGGGAAAGGACACATCCTTGTTTAACTCCTTTCTTTATCCTGAAAGGCAGAGAGGTTTTGTTATTAATTCTGCACGAGGAGAGCAGATTGTTATAATGGTTCCTTAATATCTTAATTATGTTTGTATCAATCCAACCTCTGATATAATTTCCCAGAGAGCATCATGATTTACGTTATCAAACCTCGTTTAATAAAAGTAAAGAGAAAGAGTAGTTTATCTATCGCATTTTGGATAATAATTTTATGAGTAAGAAATGGCTGCATAATATTTTTACCTGAGCGATAAGCACAGATATATTTTACGAAAAGGTTTTGCGACGTTTGTAGAATACAAATCTTAAGGAGAACCATAAAGATCTTGGACAGTCGAAATGAGTGCTATTGCCCTATAGTCACAGAAATTAGTAGGGTTAGAGGTCTTCGGGAAATTGCAAAGGGTAGATAAATTCCAGTCCTTAGGTGTATCCCTGAAGACCAGATTTTATTAAAGATGATTAGCAGGAAGCGTGGTACAGCGTCTTATGTCGCTTTAAGATGTCCAGTAATGTTATCTGTGCCGGGAGCTTTGTGATTCTTGAGTTTCTTAAGAGAGTAAATCGGTTAGTGAAAATTGGGAGGTAGATTGTTGCTTATATAGTATCCTCGCTGGTTTCATTGATTTAAAAATATTCATGTAATGATCTATCAAAAGTGCCATCTGATCGTCCTGGTCAATTATAACATTATTGTTCTCCAATTGAATGGCAGGGGATTTTAAATTTACATAAATATTTAACCATAAGTGTCAAAAAGCCTATAACCTCTCATATCTGCATCAATCTCGTATACTTTCCTAACCGTGAATATTCTTCTATCACTCCTTAGTGATCTTTGAATAGTTTTTCAAAGTTCCCTGTCAAAGTGACCACTTGAATGGAGCTCCTCAAATTTTAGCATAGTCGTCATTGATATCCACTCATTTCTTACGAGAGGATTGTTACTTCCTAGAACCTTACTTGCTTCCTCTCTTAAAAATCGCCCAGCATTCTTCATCTGTTTTGGATCGGGATATATTTTCAAAACTTATTGTTCACAAAGTCTATGATCGAATAGCTCTCTAATCTCAGGTATTTGTAAATTGTTGATATTTTTTCTTCTAAGAATGTTTAGTTGATTAGATAAATTCCTAACCATGATCTTGGTTTTGATCATTCTATGGTCGAATAAATTAATATTCATCATACCCATTACATCTCCAGCCATGAACATTTGAAATGAAAAAATCAATCTGATTTATGATTTCCTCTTCTGAAGGTGAAGGTATTTGCCTCTCCATGAGAGTAAAAGGTGTTTTCAATTTTGAGATTATTGCTACCACATAAATCAAATATTTTCCTACTGTCATCTCCATTAGGTTATGCGAGGGCTGCATTACCAATAATGTTCCTTCTTTTATAGATTTCCTCTAATCTAATCCTGGTGTTTAAATCACCCATCAAAATTATATTATACCTCCTAGGTAAGGCATTAATTACGTTTTTTAGATCGTCTAAAAAAAGATAATCTATTTATCAATATAGATTATATATTCTTTTATTTATCAGAAATCCAATGCCAGTCCAACTATTTAAAGTAGTACAAGAGCAATATAAAATGAAGTGATTGAAAGTTGCTGTGATGTTACCATGACTATGGGTTTCTTGTAAAGCAATTATTTCCATTTCTCTTCTGTCATTAGTCTTAGTAGAATGGCGAGTTTATCCCGTAGACCATTTATATTTAGGGAAGATATAAGTAATTGTTCAGTTTGTACATAGGCCCCACTAGATTATACTAACTTGAGTTCGAGGAGATTTTATAAAGATCCAGGTGACGTAATAGGAATTTTATTTGGTTTAACTTGAAGATTTGGAAAGTACCTTGCATAATTAATTGTTTAAACGAACGTTTTATAACGTAAATCATGATGCTCTCTGGGAAATACTATTAGAGGTTGGAGTTGATACAAACATAATTAAGATATTAAGGAACTATTATAACAATCTGCTCATCTCGTTTAATAACAAAGCCTCTCCCCGCCTTTCAGGATAAAGAAAGGAGTTAAACAAGGATGTGTCATTTCTCCTATTCTCTTTAACATAGTAATGAACAAAATTTTAAAAGATACCTTAGATGCTGCTAATCTACTGGAACTCAACTCATTTCCAGACAATAGGTACCATCTAGAGAACAGGATATGCGGATGATATAGTGATTATTACCAAGAACCTAGAAGAAACTTGTAATTTTATCCACTTACTGAAATCTGTAAATATGAAAGTTGGGCTGGAAATTAATTTCAAAAAGACCATGGTCCTTTTAGCTAGACACACACCTCACATAGAGAGTATTGTAATTGGATCTGAAGTGATCAAGGTAGTCACCAAAATAAAATATCTCGGAATTACCATGGACAATAGAGTGGGCTGCAAGGAAGAAATCAAGTTAAGGATACAAAAAGCTAGAGTAGACTTCTACAAGTACTTCAAGCTTTGGAAGACAAAGGAGATACCGGCCTTTACAAGATTACGAATCTAACTCCACTGTGATCCCTATACTGTTATACGGCTGTGAAACATGGGAAGCGGATAACGGGAAATGTCAGACGTTTATTAACAAGTGCTTAAGGATTATAAAAGGCGTTTTCTACCCCAAACTAATATCAAACGTTAAATTATGGAAACAATCGAAACATACCTCACCCACATCATATTAAAGAAAATTCGCATCCAATTCCTAGCTCATATACTGGGACACCCTAACTTCAACTTAGTCCACGATGCTTTAACATGGCTCTTCACTTGCTAAAGAAAGTCGTTCAGTAGATATAAGACACTTTGGTTTTACCTAGTACTGAAAGAGGTGGCTGACCTTTAAATTGGAAACAATTCACAAAATTAAATAACTATAAAAATTCTTTTGCGTCACTCTACTCTCTCCCCTCTTCAACTACTCAAAATACCTCCAACAGGAATACAGGTTCATTACTAATTATCATGTTTATTTTAACTCAGACTCTATAAACGCTAAACTTAACAAATCTTACCCTGTTTCTTTTACTTTTAAATGCAAATAGGGCTGTAGGTATGTGTCTGGGTGTCTATTTTTGGTCCTTTCCCTCTTAATCAGCCTACAGACGTTTGAACAATTCCTCGGACTATTTTGACAAGTACATGCGGCTTGCCCACAAACGTGTAAAGGGCTTATCATCTTTTCCCCCTAATTTCTATATAAATCTAATTAGATGGAAATGAGAAATACCTAGCATATAACTATGAGAGGGCGAATGCGCTTTATCACATATCACGTAATTTGAAAGATATTTCGGGTTTAAATAGGATAAGAAGTGTGCAGGAGTTAAAGCTTGATTGTAACTTTTAGCAAAGAATGAAAGTTGATTACCTCTTATTTTTTATTAGCATGTAAGGTGGAATAGCAATAGCTAATTTTAGTTTGAAAAAATTAAATTTTATTTGGCATTTTTATTTGAATTAGAAAATTTTACAATAAATTTATTTTAGCAAACTATTGATAGTTAAATTTTTTAAAAAATAACTATATTATATATCATCGGCTCTTTGTATGAAAAAAATATCAAATTACAACATATCATTATTTAATTTTTCAACAATTTCTGACTTATTCTCTTGAGCATAGTCCTTTACTTGCAAGATAATATTAAACTGAAATTTAAAAAAAACGATATTTTACCATCTTAGTCCATAATTCTTTAATTAAAATTTGAATTATTTTTATTTGTTTGTAATCGCGATTTAAATCAAAAAATCACGATTTTTGCCAACCCTAGCCAAAATGATTTAAAATCCAGACGGAGCTTTCATTATTAACATTTATATTCTAACACCAATTTAAAATTAATAAATTTTTTAACCTGTAAATTTCTTTATTCAAATAAAACGATTTCAATCTACAAAGTTTTTTAATATACATATTTATATCTCTGTTAATTATATTTACGAAACATTTCTATATAAAAAACATATATGTATAAAAAAAATTATTTCTAAAATTGGACTATAAAATAAAGAAACTAAATAGAAGAAGGAAAAGGTTTGGAGTCATCCAAGGGAGGAATGAATGCTTAGGAAGTTAGAACGGCAGATTTCTAAAGAGATCCTTTGTCGTAGATAAAAACACCACTTCGTTGGTATCTCCCGCATTTATTGTTTTTTTCGAGGCTTTTTTTAATTTGGAAAACCTCGTCCCCAAAGATTCCCGGGTTGTAGGTAACTTTGGGCATACAAATAGTATTATGATTATAATTTTTTATATTTAAATATAATTTATTTTCTTTTTACTTTTTTGTTATTCAAATATAAATATAGTTTTGAAATAAAATGCTTGCAAATTAGTCTTTTTTATATATAGAGAATTAAATTGATTTATATGGTTGGGTTGCATTGCCTTATAAAAATATAAGACCCTTATAAATCAATGTAGATGATGCAGCCCTAAACATAAATAATAAATTCATACATAACCAGAAAGTGATTTAACATAATATTCATTTATCTGTTAAATTTAGGAGCTTTTTATCCAGGATTTCCTGTTCAGCCTGTTTGTATTAGATATCCCAATGATTTTGTAAGATTTTTTTTATGGAATAAATGTATACTTACTATTATTTATTTTTATTAATAGGATTGCTTAACCTGGACATGGGATGGCCCTAACACGTAATAATACACCTTAATTTTATATCTGCCTTTTTTTAGTCATATTTAAACATATAGTTACCTTTTAGAATACAAATTAGACAACGAGTGACTAAAAAAATTTAAAATTTAATTAGGCTTCTCGTTATATGGTGGTCGCTGTGTCAACCATATTTGAAAATCGAAATTGAAGTAAACCACATATACAAATAAATTTTACAAAATAAATATTCAAACTAATCTATAATTCAAAAGTATTTGCCTGTCTACCATCCAAATGAATCTGAGAAAAAAGATGGGTCCCTATTCGCAGAAAATGTTAGGACACTCATGGCTAGGTAAAAATGGTCAGATTTACAAAAAATAATTGAAATATTCTCTGTACGAAACCTTTTTTTAAAATCGATATTTCATATTATTATATTTTTGGGGTGGGGGGGGGGGGGGTAATAATTTTAGGAAAATATGGAAAGAAATTATTTTATAATATTAAAGCTTTCATCAATAAATGTTATTTATTTTATTTTTTGATTTTAGGGTTATTACTAATTAAGGTTGCCAAAATATCTCAAAAATAGACAACATTTATTGATAAAAGTCTTTTTATTATGAAATAAATAGTAGAGTTCAAATATCATTAAAATAATTTTAATCTTGATTAATTAAGTTTAAAATGTCAAAATATTTTATGGAATAATTATCATTTATTACAAAAAAGATTTTTATTATTTGGAAAAAGACACATTAGTATATTGTGGTCATATTCTTATTACTATTATCAAGAAATTTAATTTAATTAACTTTTAATTCCTTGTTTAATTAAACCTCTAGATGTGAATTTCTTCCACTTTATTCCTAACAGAGTGCTGTAACTGACTAGACCCGGTTCTAATTTTTTACTAAGGTCATCCGGTCCGGGTTTTTTATATCCAGAATATATCCTATGGAAAAATATCAAATAAAATAGAGTAGCGTGGTTAAACGGCTCGATTTTTAAAAACGGCTAACCCGATATTTTATCCAAAAATATTACGCGAGTTTGGATATTTTGCTCATAGATGGCAGAAAGGTTTGGACGTCTATTAGTGAAATCTTGAAGCTTGTTTAATTTTTTTGGCAAAAATATTGGATTAGCCATTTTTAGAAATCGAGCCGTTTAACAAAACTAACGAGGAGCTAGCTTCATGATTTTCTTATTATAGCAATAAAAACAAAAACTAGAAAATGGAAAAATATTATGGTAGCACGTCATTTTATCTATGAAATTATGAGGACAATAAAAGTTATCAGAATATTTTTTCCTATTCTCTATTATACGCACCTAGCATCTCCACTTTTTACAAGCTCAGCCCGTTAATTTTTTTGCCTGGCCTAGCGCAAATAAAAAAAATTTAGACGTTATCCAGACCAAGCATTGCAAATCTATTTCATAACCACTATAATTTAATCTAATAACCAATGAGGCACGAGTAATTTGTTATACCTTGTTCAAAATTGGATCTATATTTTCAAAAAAAATGAGACTGAGTAATAGTTTTAGTGAAAAACTAGGTTTAACCAGATAAAAATAACGCGATTGCCCAACTAACTATCTTAGATCTCCTCGCCATTGTATTAGCCCTTTATGGAATTTCACCAAAAAGTTTTAACTAAGAATCATTCAAACAATATCATAGGAGTTTGCGTGAGATTGAGTTAAAATGGTAATATAAGAAGGTGAGACTACATTTAGAGGTTTCACAGTAATTATTTTTTAAAATATTACATTATTTTGAAATATTACATGAAAAAATTATCTCGTTTTGATTATATAAAATATATTAATTAACTAAAATAAATATAATTAAATTATTTATAATTAATAAATTGAAATTAATTTAATAATTTTATTTTATTCAAAATTTTGATAATAACAATTCGAAAAATTACAAAATATTATATATAATATGGGTCAATTCAATTACTATTATACTATTTATATAGGATATCAAATTGTGCGATGATTCAAAAATAAAATATTTATTATTCCTTTCTTCTAGGATTCAAAAAAATTTGCTGTTTTACCCTGCATTCACATTTAGTTTGAAATAGCAGCGAAGTATATAAAATATGCTGTGTTTTTATATAGTTCTCCGCGAATTCGCGTTAACTATGAATGAGGAATTATTCTGTATTAACGATAAATCTTGATAGATTGCCATTTAAAAATTAAACTTGGTTTCCGATCCTCAATGAATTATATTTTAAAGAAAAATCAGGTGCCGGATTCCTCTCAAAAACAAGATTTTAAAATTGCATTTGATAAATAAACTATATGAAGGTGCACACGTGACTATAATATCTTATTATAAATATTAATCTTACTTCTAATATCACGCTTACGCAAACTATGAGAGTCAACCTTCCCCTCTTTATTTGCGTTGTTAAAAAGCTGGATTCGGGTCGATTTTAAAAAACGGCCCGATTAAGATTTTAATTGAAATATTATGTGAGCCTCGAGATTTGGCAAATAAATGTCCAAACATTCTACCATATATGAGCAGAATCTCCACGCTTACTAATATTATTTTGATTACAATCTTAATGGGACCTTTTTAGAAATTAGTCTGGATTTTTAACAATACCACTTACTCTTGGCTTTAACAATATCTAATATCATTATACAGTCATTTTTTAAAAAATCTTAATTTACAAATAATATAGACATTTGAAGATTCCTAAAAGCAACTCGACTTACGAAGATTGCAAGAATGCTTGGAAAATTAACGAAGCAGTGCAAAAATTTCAAACTATACACAAAGCCAAAGAGCCTTCTAAATTATTGAATTCGCTTAATTTCCTGTGTGCAACATTATTAATTAAGTTCATATTTTTGCTACTCTTTTATTAATATGAATGAGATTCAGATTCATGAGTTTTGAAGATGGGAAAGAAAAAAAATACAAATAATATCAATAGAAGTTTAAAACTGGACTAAAAATGGTTCCAATTCTGAATATATTTTTAAAAAATGGTTACAGTTCTCAGAAATAAATTACAACATTTTGAACAATGGTAGTAGAACCTTTGCTAGAACCGGTTCCTAAGAATTTTAAAATGGGTTTTCGTTCATGTTATTAGAAAAAAGGGGGTTCCGGTTCTAAACGCTGATCATGTGATGCAATAATATTTTGAATAGGAAACAATTTTATTTAAATGTAATTTTCTTTTGAATCGCGATTCAAAATTCGATATTATGACACAGCATAATACAGATAAAAATATTCAAATAAATAATTTTTCAAATTTTAATGATATTGCTAGTTATTTATATATTTAACAATAAATTTTTACATACTTTCTCCTTATTTATTCAATACTAGCTATTACAAGACAAAAAATTACACCCAACAAAATTCGACAAATAACTCAAGTGGTCTTAACGAACCACTCATTCGTGATCGTGCCTTATTGGTGACTTCCAATTTTATCTCGTTTCTACAAAATGAATACCAAAAAGATCAAAAACTAAATAAAATATTATCCAAAGAAGAATCCAAATACTTTCAGAATCTAAGTCAATTAGTCAAACCTGGCCAAAGTCACAATACTAATCAAAACAACAATGTGCCTATTATATCCGTGGATGTAACTATATTTTAATTTTTTAATATTTATTATTTTTATTTTTTTTTTCGACAAAATCATTAGTTAACTGCTGATCTATTGCTATAAAATATTTTTGAAAAATGGTTTGAAAATATCTTTAACTGATCATGAAGATAATTTAAAAACTAGGATAAAATTATTCCCATTAAAAGATTTGATTTTTATCAGTTGTTAAATTGTTAATGATTTCATCTTGGCAAACGTTAATATTTTAAAGATCTTTTGTAATATACTTTTCTTATGATATTTTAATCAAAGCTCGAAAATCATACACCCGAAGAACGTATTGACGTGAAGAAAGTTGCAAACCTGTTTTATATTATTAACCATTATGAAGTAATATAAAATATTTTACAAGTAGAATATCGAATATATTAAAGGCAACTCAATTAAAAGCTAATAATATAAAAAGTGTTCTTGATGAATGCAACTTGGAAAGTAATTTGTTCGATGATATATTTGTTGAGAGGATTATAAGTGTTCCTACTTTGAAAGGTATTTTAAAAATATTATCATTTTTCTATCAAATTAATAAATAGATTTATTAAACAAATACCTTACCAAAACTTTGACGAAACACGATGAATCCATGTCCAATATGTTTTACTTCGATGGTTTGAACAAGAAAACGAATTAAACTATAAATAGCTCATATATTTTTTTATATTTGATTTACATAAAAAAAGAAGTCATCCTAATTTATTCGCAAATTTCTAAAAAAAAAAAATTTTAAATATTTGTTGACAGAATTTATTATCAAAATATTTTAGATATTCAAATTTAATATATTTATAGGTTTTAATAAATACTCAATTTTGAATTAATTATTAAGCTTCCTTTACAATTTTTATATCCCATATTTTACAAGAGATTAATAATTTTAATTAAAAATAAACAAAAAAATTTTTATTGAAAAAACTTAAATTTAAACATTTTAAAAAAATATAGATTTTGGTGATAAGAATAAATATAAAACATCTATTTATAGTGCCTAAATATTTTAATTTGAGAAAAGGGTATAAGAATAGAGCTTCGATTAGTGTTGCGTAATAGGCTAATTTTAGGTGAAAAATCGGCTAATTAGGCTTAGATATGAAATCGGTTAAAACTTAATTAGTCAAAAATTCTGCATCGGGTCCGTCAGCGTTCCATAAGATATGCCTAGCATTAATTATTATTTATTTATTTTATTTATATTTAATATTAATATTTTATTATTAACAATAACAACAAATAAACATATGATATGATTTAATATTTTATTTATTTGATGTTTTTTAATAAATAAATATGACATGCTGCTATTGTAATATTATTTTTGTTACAATTTATTAGTGATTTTCACGCCCAAAATTTTAAGCAAATAATATTTTTTGAAGTTCAAAGAGATTTTTGTACATATTTTGATTTGATAAGAATTTTAAAATCTTCCTAAATAATATTTTTTATCATTTTTGTAAATTATCTATTATTTTAAGTGTATTAAAAGAGGTGGTTTTTTCTAGATAAAAATTTTAAAAAATATTTATATTAAACTTTTTTATGTTATTTTGTATGTTCTTTTTAAGGATAATATTTTAATGTGACTTTTTTAGATGCAATTTAATGCCCAATTAATCAAACCAACAAATTAGAACTTTTATTAAAATAAAAGAATCTTGTCATCTATTTATTATTACAATTTACATTGCTTTAACGATTAATAATTGAATATCATAAAAACAATTTCATTTTTTAAACACAAAAATAATAATCAATTTTACATCTGAATATTAAATTAATCATTCTTTTTTTTCAATTTTAAAACCCACAATTCAATATTCAAATTTTTCTTTCATCCCTACTTTACAACACACCTTCCCTTAGATACCTTCATCTAGGGAACTTGATGTGATTCTCCTACAATCAATAACCTGCATGTCTCATTCTGTAACGTCATCGTCTCATTGCTGACCGTTATGTCTTGGTTGGGACAATATTTCATCAGATGATCTCCCCCACAAGTCTAACCCTGCCTGGGTCTAGGCCGATCATATGGATGTATCATTGTTTTGATCATATCTCCCTGGTGTTTCCATTCTCATATCGTTCAACATTTCTCCATATAGCCTTGTTGCCTCTTCTCTGGCCAATCTTAGCCAGTTTCTTGAGATTATAGGTCCATCTATTGGCCTTATATATATACTCACGATGAAATTTCATACTCGTATATATGTAGCCATCTAAAAATAAAATTACTATGCATATAACCTTATTCCTTCCTTTCTTTTATCCTATGTCTTATAGTCTTTTTCAACTTAATGATTTTTCTTAATAGCGTCCTTTAATAACATCAAATTTTGCTTTCATCCCAAAATTTTACTTTTTTATCACATCAAATTTTGTTTTCATCCCAAAATTTCATTTTTTAAATTACTTTCTACTCTCGGTCGTATTGTTTTACATGTCTCGGCCATGTACACCTAGCTGTCCTTCAATTTCTATCTCCACTTTCTTCCTATATTTTTTTTCATTACACCCTTCCCCCATTTAATAGGCCCATTGAACAACATTGCCCAGACAAGATTTCCTACTGGAATTTCTCAATATCTATTTATTCTCTCGGTATCACCTTTTCCTTTAGAAAATCTAATTCCGATCTCGTTTTTCTTCCTAAAAATATTTCAGCTAGAGATATTCTTTTCGACGCCTTCGTATTGTTGTATGCTAAGAACGACCACCATTTTCCTTCTCCATATTTTTCCTTTTTCAACCAACTTTTAACTATCGCTACCATGCTCTCAGCTTACCCATTGCTCCTTGGGTAATAGGGTGGTGAAAATAAATGCTTAATCTTTCATCTATCACAAAATTTATCAAATGCTTTACCTTTAAAAGCTGGATCTCCACTAAGATCTTCATGTATTTACATACAAAATCTTTTATCATATCCAAAGCTACTATCCATTTTGAAGCTGCATCTACCATTATAAAATATCATTTCTTCACGCATTCTAAAAAACTTACATGTATTCTTTTGCACGAAACGTCCGTAACTGGCCATTTATCTTTGTTTCCTGGAACATTAGTCCACATGTTACATATCAACCCTTGGCCACTTCTTCTATTTCGATTTTGGACCCCCAAATATATTCTCATGCCTTATTCTTCATTCTTTCTATGCCTTTGTGTCCGGTATGCACCGCTGCTAAAATCTTTTCTTATAACCAAACGATATCCTCTCATTAGACAATTGTCTTCTATGTTTAATTCATTCTTAACCTTTTAAAACGATTTGTCTTCGCTTTTCCATTCTATATCCTCTTTCAAACATGCTTTAATTCTCATTAATTCTTCATCTTGCTTGGATACCTTATCAACTAGTTAAAAAGTTATCGGCTTTTTTCTTGTATCTACCTTCAAAGATCTTATAATAATATTATTTACTTCATCTTCTGCGAAAAATTGCTCCAAACTACTAGTTCTGGGTTCTATTTTTTCATTTTCTGTTTCCTTTACAAACAACCTTGATAAAATATTTGGTAAACAATTTAGTTTACCCGCTCTGAACTTTATTTCAAAATAGAAACTCCCCGGGGTGAAATCATTAATTCTTTATTGTCCTTTTTAAACAAATACTATCAGATTGTGATCCATATATAATAGAAAGCTTCTTCCAAACAGATATTCTTTGCACTTGGTTAATCCAAACTTAACTGCTAAAGCTTCCTTTTCATTTGTTGAATAATTTCTTTCAGCTCTATTAAATTGTCTAGATAAGAATAAGATCGGTTTCTCAACATTCTCCGTTGCTTGTAATAACGTTCCTCCTATACCTTCATTGGATGCATCCATTGCTAATATAATATCTGAATCCTCGTTAAAACAGTTCAAAATATATTTATTTACCATTCTCATTTTAAGTATTTCAAAACTTTCTTTTTCCCATTCAAATTTTATATTTTTCTTTAACTTGTACAACGGTGTAGCTATTTACGCAAAATTTTGTATAAATCGATGATAATAATTTGTAGCTCCTAAAAAAACTTATAATTCTATCGTATTACTTGGTGCTCTGATGTTCATAATCTTATCTATTACATGTTCTAGGTACCTTACTTCCTTTACTCCAAAAACACTTTTTTTCATATTAGCTCTCAGATAATTTTCTATAATATCTAACACTTTAATTAATCTCGCATTATGTTCTTGTTCAGATATCAAAACATCATCTAAATAATACATGATACCACTTAATCCTTGGAACATAGCAGCCATCGTTCTTTGAAATATTGGAGCCGATACTTTCAACCCAAACGGCAATCGGCAGAATGCAAACAAACCTCCATGCGTTGTAATTTCATATTTTACTTACTTTTGAACTCTTAATTTGTAAGTAGGCATTAGAAAAATAATTTTCGAAAAAATTGTTGCTCCCTTTTAATTAGCCAATATTTTCTCTATTCTATGTAACAGATATTTCACATTCATTATCCAAGGATTTACAGATACCCTATAGTCCATGAATAGTCAACCTGTTATTCCGTTTTCTTATGAGGATGAATGGTGTCACCCATACACTATGAACTATTGGTCTCATTATACCTTCGTTCAGCCATTTGTCTAGTTCTTTATCTATTTTTTTATCAAAGTAAACGGTAATCATATGCCACAAAATTTAGGCTGGTAATTTTCCTCCAATCGTATATCTACCTCAAAATCTTTTAGAGTACATAATTCCTCTTTAAAAACCTCATTCTACCTATTCAATATGTTCTTTATTTCCTTGCTGGAATTATCCTCAACAACATCCAGTTCTACCTTATTAATTCCTCGTTGTTTGACTTCGCTCTTGATACCTTATTCTTTTCTATGTTTTCTATATCTAATCAAACATTCTGGTGTTCGATTTCTCAGTTTATAAAGAACTAAAACTCCTAAACTAAGTAAGTCAGTCTTATCATTATTCTCTCTCCAGTTATATTGTTATTCTCACGGATGTTTTCGAACAAAGATCCAATTATAATCAGGACCTATATTCTTAATGTCATTTCAACCTAAAATAGCATCTTTAATGTTATAATCCATATCGTTATCACCTTATTTATATCTAATTCTATCACATAAAAACCTAAAATCTTCTTTGTCTAATTGTGTAGCTCTTATTCTACTTGCTATGAAATTTTCTTTTGGAAAACATTGATTAAAATCTTTTATGGCCGATATTTCAACATTTTAAAATATCGGTTATCGACCAATATTATAAAATTTTCCGATCCGATATAAAATGGCGTCTTTAACAAAAATAAAATGTTATAAAATTTTTAAAAAAAGTTATATCTAAAATCATTTATTTTTATAAATATAATCGAAATCCATTTTTATGTATATTTTTTTAATAATAATAATTAATAAACATTCTGCCATATTGCTATTTTTTTGTGCATTCTGTTTATAAAAATGTGCGATAATCTCTTCAGAATCTGTTTTTAATGAAGCTGGTGATATTGACAGTTACCATCCCATCAGGCTGACCTCTGATAAATTGGAAATTTTGTTATTTTTAAAAAAGAAATCTTCGATACATTAATGTTAAATATTATTTTAAATTTAATAATATATTTGTTTATCACTTATTATATATAGTTTAATGTTATTACTTATTATAAAAAGTAATTTAAAACTAAAAATGTTTTATATACTTTTAGAATTGCAATTTAATTGAATATAAACTATGATCATTAATATATTTAAATGACATAAGTTATGG